TGCTTGCACAACAACTGCCCCCACAGTGGACCGATCCTCATCCTATTGGTGTGTCTGCTCCAAGCCTGGGATCACCCAAATATTGATGAATGAGGTCAACGTAATAGCTGAGATGTTGCTGACTAACACAGAAAACCTCTTCCATTTACACCCTCGTCCCACTGCAAGCTGCCATATCCCTCCGGTCAATAAATGGCTGCCATGGCTGAAGTTCAAACAACAACTGGCAAGATCACTCAAGTTACTGGCATAGATTTGCTTACAGTTACACTGCTATAAGCACTGCAGTCAGCTGAGTCTGATGACTTCAGCTGGATATTTGGGGAGTTACAATCCTACACTCCTATAAAGCACAAAAAGAACACCCAGATGTTACATATGTCTGCAGTTAATCTATCATGCTAAGAGATGAAAAAGACTTTTGAACACAAGCTCTGCAAGTTACATCATATTTCGTACAGGCAGTGTTAATTTTAGAAGGAAGCACCTTGAAACTGTTCAAAACTGAAAGGAGTCTGGAGCTCATGAGCTTTCTCCAATAGCACTTGAATCTAGAACAACCATATTCTTAACTTAAATGTGGGGGTTATGACATAGCGGACTCATAACTGTCAGACTCTCAAACACTGAGATACATATACCACTATTCACTGGGTACACAAGCAGAACAAAATATTCACCAATCAGTCATTCACCTTTGTCATAAACTTAACTGAACGACTACAAAAGTGAAAATTATTTAGCACATGAACAACTGTTTTTGCTGCAGTCAGCAATTTCACAACCTACTGGATCAGATTAGCCTGTCATTATCTGGACACAGCAGTGCTTGACAGCATGGGCAATTACCCATCGGCCTCGATTGACGCAATGTCAAACACCACACAGAGAGTAGAGGATTCTACAACGATCACTGGTTGTACTAATCTATCAGGGAAAGAAACCTTTCAAAATTTCCCACTAGACCACAGGACCAGTGACTGGACAATAATTAGTGGTCCTGTCTGTACTTCACTGGTCCAAAATAACATTCATAGATTTACTTAATTATCAATACAAAATTCACTGGCCACTAGGATCCACTGCAAACTTATCATTTAGTGGTCCTGATGAATTTTTACTAGTCAGGGACCACAGGACCAGCATAAACTTTGCACACTGATCTATGCATTCATAAAATATAGCTAGGAGGACAGACTGCTTTCAACACTAACAGGCCTATCTGTAAAAGCATCTCCTGTTACTTTTTATCAGCAAAAGCCTCACAATCAATAATTGTGAACATAAATATAATCATGAATCTTTTAAAAATCATCTGATTGTATATTAACAAGTTTAATACAAATACAGAGTTTAACAGCAGCATATTTTAAACAATACAATTCTGCAATAAATTGACTACTAAGAGATAAATTGACTACTGAGAGATAATTCTGGTCTCCAATCATCCATGTAATTAATTTGCAAACTACATACACTTATCTCAAAATGATGGTGCAGCAGCGATATTTGCCCAGCTGCTTACCAGCGTATTATGTTTGTGGTTGTATGACAATATTCAGACAGCCAGGATTTGTTTAAAAAATGCATCCATCTGCCGAAACCATTATCCTTTCAAGGCGAACAAGAAAATTCCACCATGTTTATAATGAACATGATGAATAGCTGTCAACATAAAGTAGCCATTTGTGTTGAATAAAATGGCAGCTGATCTCCAATTGTTTTGAGAAAGGCTGAAGAAAGGTGGGGGAGGGTACTATTTGCTGATGGGAGAGGGTTCAAGGCTTTCCTTGTGGGCTTGCAGCCATGGAGGCTATTTTCATAATCTGCCCTCTGAAGCTTTGTGCTGTATTGTTTGCACTGGCTGTGTCAGACTGACCTCTGACTGACCTGACAATGACCACAGAAGTGAGAACAGGCGAACTGAAATCTAATACTTGAACACTTCCATGTCTAACTTCCTTGTACAGTGGAAAATTATTGGATATGGATTGAGTGTGGAGTCCAAATGGTGAGACTTTGCTTCAGCACAAGACACTGCACACTGGCAAAATCACAAGCTGACGATGCATGGTCTAGATTGACTGGCACTGAAGGTTCACGACTCACTGTCGGCTCGGGTACTACAGATGTGTACTCTAGCCAAAATCAGAATACAGAAACGTACCCTACGACAAGTCCATTCCACATTGTGTCGTTCTTTGATCTGAATTGTCACAATGTTGCATCGGTAATTGTCACAATGTTGCATTTAATGTAACATAAATATTTTCCTAATATAAGACATTGGTTAATAAGCTCTAAACCAGCCAGCATACAAACAATAACAATGGAAATAACTCATTGCGTCCGAGTCCAGTGTTTTTTCTGTCATGTATATCACACTGTATCGGTGTCCAGTTGACTTTCCAATGTTAATTATGTTGTTTATCCAAACAAGTTCAGGGCAAGTGATTTTACATGTGCCATGTCCTGGTACAACGTTTCAAAGGCTCTAGTCTTCCCGATTTCTGTTTAAGTAATCTTCATGAATCTATCTACACAGCAGAGATATTTTCATGGGGCAGTGGGGTAGCCTAATATTGCTGGAAGACCAGGGTTCGATTCCCCACATGGGTACAACGGGAAGCGGGCCATGATAAATCCATACTCACTCACTTACTATATTTTCATTTGTACATTACCAGTGTCTGTACCAAAAACACACAAATAGTGAAATACTATCAAAAATGTAATAGTTTCATCAACATACAAACTATATCAATCCCAAATCAGATTAACTTGTTTGGTCTTAAATAGCAAAGCTAAGTGTACTGGGCAGCAAATGTACCTGCAATCCAAACTTTGAAATCGGAATTAAAATATAGTAACCGATTCACAGTGGCCTCATATCAATCATCATAGCTTGCCATAAATGTTTACTTCTATACTCAAGACAAGGTGTCACATATATCCTATTTGTTTACAAATAATAACAAAGTTTTTGAAGTGTTTTTGAAATCCCATGTCCAAAAGTTCAAATGGAAACATTTCCAACTGGTCACAAAACATCTAGCTCATCAATCAATGACACTCAGTGTCAGAAACTACCTCCACCACAATCAAATAACTGGCACAGTGTTCACAACTCATAGTTGAAGTCAAACTGTAAATCATAACAAAAAGTATAGTACTAAACCAGCCATGTGACTTTTGTTCTAGTACCGTTTAGGTTCCCAAATCACATATCTTGCCTGTTCAAGTGTTGAGTAAAAGTCTTCCATTTTCTTGTGTGAATGTGTTGACAAAAGAAAACATCCAATTCCTAGAAAGTCGCATGGTAATTAACAACAAATCAATGTCAATGTTTTCTTGCTGTTAAATGCATGTGAAGAGTGAGTGAGTGAGTTTAGTTTTACGCCGCACTCAGCAATATTCCACCTATATGGCGGTGGTCTGTAAATAATCGAATCTGGACCAGACAATCCAGTTATCAACAACATGAGCATCACTCTGCGCAATTGGGAACCGATGACATGTGTCAACCAAGTCAGCGAGCCCGACCACCCGATCTGTTGGTTGCCTCTTACGACAAGCATGGGTTACTGAAGGCCAATATTCTAACCCGGATTCTTCACGGGTCCATGTGAAAAATGAATGAGTATCAGGCTTCATCTCCAATGACAGAATGTTTTAACATCTAATAAATAATCTCTTGCCTATAAATACTGTTCTTTTAACCCTTCAACTGTGGTTAAAATTCAAATAATTGAATGATAATGTAATCCCTGATATAAACCATTAGCACCTGAATAAACACTGCAACAAACATCTTTGAGTGGCAACAAACAGCAGCAATCAAAACATCTTTAAGTAGAGTATTGCTCAATCACCTGACCTGCCACTGTGAGTTGACCCAGTAGTAGGTGGGGGAGGGTTTCTTTGTATATTGGGATGGGCTTAAGCTGGGTGGGGTTGGATTTCATCCATTACACCTGCTAAATGACTAATTACTTCACATAAGATCATGTTCATCAGGATTTCTTATAGATATTTATATATCTAGTATTATCTACCCACTACACTGAATAAACTCTGTCGCTACTACAACCAGCCCAGTTATTTGTTATGGTAATACGATCCATACCTTATACTAGACAAAGCAGGACACATCAAACCTTAGTACGGTAAGACTTCCGCCCGTATCCACCCTAGATTTTAACAATAAAGAAACATGTCTTTGAGTGGCATTTCTAGAAGTTGAATGTGTCTTTCAGAATGTTTAGATACAATTAAAGAAACATGTTAATACTCATCCTTATCCAGATTTTGAATATATATTCAGGTGATATGATTTACAAGAATGAAATTTAAGGGGTATATGGGCGGAAGTCTTTAAATAAGTTTGATCCATAAATGAAGCTGATCACATTCTCAAACTTGGCTACATTAAAACCACCACAGGAAACTACACACAACAAAGGAACCTTCTATTCGATAGGCTTATCCATGTGAAAAAGCATATGAACCAGTTTGATTTCAAATCAGCTGATTGACAAAGAAGCCTTCAGAGACCGATCGAATGTTTGTTCTGTATGGCAGACCGAAGGTTGAGGATGTTTGGGGCCATTGAGTGCAATTGACTAAAAAGTAAAAACCATGAGTTATTCAACAATGGACGACTTTGCAGTGTTGATCCCCCACACGGTGGTATTTCCCCAATAATGTGGCGAACGTTTGGATCTAAATATAAACCAGCGAGCGCCCTTGTCCGTCCTTCACCTCAAGTTTGACAGCCAAGTCCCGTGGCAAGCCAGACAGAACTCCCGTTGTTCAGTCAACACACGGTAAACAAATATCTGTCCTTACCGATACGTCACTTATATCCATGTCGTCTTTAAAGAACATTATAGGAACATATTGCGAAAATCAAACAGGGCCTATTATGAATTACGGAAATCACTATCACGCGGCAATCCCATGAATACTTTTTCGTAAGCTTTTCACACGTAACCACTTACCAACATTTACACTCCAAATTCTTCCTCCCGTGCGATTAGACGCTTCAAGAATTTTGAAATTTTTGAAACCCTTTCTTGATAGGTACTCTCCGGCTGCTATTCCTGATATGCCACTTCCTATGACTATGATCTTTGGGTCGGAATCCCACTTTTTGTTAGACTTCTCTTCCTCATCCATGGTTCCTGGTATCAGCTGACCCCGGCGACGGACTTGAATGAAAACGGTGCAGAGGGACAAACAACGTTATAAATAATATCCTAATCACAACGATATCAAAGTATATTTGTAGTCTTTTGTGACTGATTAACAACACTCGTCCTGTAAAACTCTTCAATGGTCATGGGCTCCACATTCATGTTGCTTGTGTCTCGGGAAATGCGGTCATCTGGCAGTCTCACGGAACATTAATACGCCTGCGTGCTGACGTCACTACCACTATATGCTATTATCCACACTGCGTATAATCATGCCTGAAATGACGAGTGGCTTCAGACAGACGTCCATAGATAATCGTTATTTAATATACTAATTTCATGACTAATCAACCACGACTGTACAGCGTAAGGTGTTGTAAGATAGATTTGTACCACGAACACTTGCTTTACATGTATGTGTAAATGGTGGGTTAAAATGAAATAATTTGATAAATAGATGTACACATTCACATGGTCTAAATATTTTTTCTTGTACATGTGTGTCGAGAACATATGTTCTAAAAACATATACTGTCTACTTATCTATGAAGAAGTCCTATTTCAGTTTTACCCGAAAGGTACTTTAAACACTGCCAGATGCAACATTTGAAGCTAAACGGAGTATTGTGACGCCTTTTACTTCAGTCTCTTTACAGCAGACGTCAAATAAGGCGTCAGTTGAAATAACTTAATGTAACTAGTTGTTCCTCTACTAGTACACCGCACCTCAAGCGAAGCTTGTGGCCGTGCTTCCACTAGAAGAAGTTCAAGGATTTGTAGCCTAAATCAGAGAGGTCATGTGTCGTTCTAGTTACTAGATTAAGGTTATGCGAACAATTTTTGTTTAATTCATTCATTCTTGACATTAGTAGAAACGGTAAGATTCTGTCAGAGGAATATGTAAGTCTTAGGTCAAAGGTTAGAAACTTATTTGCGTCGTCTGCTTGAGTTCAGACTGGCTTTGCTGTCAAGCTATCATGCGTTTATGATCTGCGTTTCAGTTTTATTAGTCTATTTGAAATTAGATATTATTTTTAAGTTTACACACAAGGCGATATTTTAGTCCCGCGTTATCCCTATTTTGATGCAGACCGATCAGAAGGTAAAAATGTGCAACTCACCGAATCCTACATCTTTGACACCAAGATCTGCAACAGTTTGAGGAAACAGTCTGTCGGCGGCGGAAATCTCTTCGCAATAACACGGTGACAGAGACTCTTTGTTTCTGGATAGACCGATCTGTGGACTCATAACCTTTTGGTATCGAAGTATGTTATATATATATATATATATATATATATAAGAAGATATAGATCTAGTACCCACTGAATCAATATATTTCCTCTATTAATATATCATAATAAAGAATGAATTCCCCAAACGTTAACGAGTACTGTAGGTGTATGACGAGAATTATCCGATTAACAAACTGTTTACGAGTACGAGATGATTTACCAATGACAGCTAGGATCTACTGTGATAGAAACTGTAACATTCGTTATTTGGACCAGACTTGACCATAGACTAACATTTAAACAAATGTTAGTCATCAGGTATTTTTCCTATAAGCTATTTGTGCACACGGGTTTATCTTGGATTCCAAACAGTGCCCAAGGCGGCCAAACTGTGAAAAAAAATCATTATATCGTTCAAATTTAATTTTAACGTATCTGTTTTCGTAAATAATAAAGTATATTGGGAATTTTTAACTTCATATATAAGATGGTTCACTGCATGTCATTTCCTGCAGAGTACGAGGTGATTTACCAATGACAGCTAGAATCTGCAAGTGATATAAACTGTAACATTCGTTATTTGGAGTGAGTGAGTGAGTTTGGTTTTACACCGCTTTTTGCAATATTCCGCAATATCACGGCGGGGGATACCAGAAATGGGCTTCACACATTGTACCCATATCGAACCCGGGCCTTCGGCGTGACGAGCGAACGTTTCAACCACTAGGCTACCCCACCACCCCTCGTTATTTGGACCAGACTTGACCATAGACTAACATTAAAAAAATTTGTTTGTTCTGATTTCCTCTTGTATGAGCTTAGAAAATTTTGTGTTTAAAATTACCTTATCTATTTATTACCCGCCCCCCGTTTTGTCTAATGGAGACCAGGAACAGGGTGTATAGATAGATATATTATTACATATTGCAATCTTCACATTATTTTATAGATATAGATGTGTTATTACAGAAACGTACCTTTAATAACCATTTGCAATTTCCTTTATACACGTATACCATAGTAACACGTTTTATGTTATTTAAGCTTTCTAAGATATAGTCATATATAATTTCCCATGTTTTATTGAGTGGTAGCTCGAATAACAAAACTTCATTCCAGTTTGATTCAAGTTGTTAGTTAAAGACCACGCGGTATGATCAACTTTCGACAGACCGCGAAGGTGTGATTGGACAACCATTCATTTACGAATTCGAAGGTGTGCTAGACAATATTTACTGTTCTTTTAAAATCGTCCCACACTCGCCGTTCCCCAGGAGCGCGGGAATATCTACATCACGAAACAGACAAGGACATAGGCGGGAGGTTTACTCTGTCGATGACTGGCGAACTTCCCCATTGAACGAACGACTCAAACTTGGGGTCAAAGTTCACCCGTCTGACTCCCGCCTACAACAGATACGCCCCCAAGTGATATTGGAACAGACACCTGTTGACAGTGTTGATTGTCGTGTCGTCCGTTTAGGTGTTCTGTATTCCAATGGCGGGGAAATTTGTTTATGTTTTCTGATGTCTTATTACCAGTTTCGTAACGTTCTATACATTTCCTGAAAATATAGACGTTAGTTTAAACACATATCTGTGTTAGTTCCGTGTTTTCGCCGGTAAACGTGCAGAAGGTTAACAAGAGTCGAAAGTCGCATAAACTTGTATGTCAGATTTTAGAAAATGAGGTAATACATTTTAAGCGTTCTTCCGTCCACAATGGAAGGATTAGCGAAATCTATGTAGACTTAGAAATGCAGTTTCACCCAAACCCCTGCGTTGAGTGTATACATAGACGAGGAAGCATTTCTGTAAATTTGTTTTGTAAACAGCCAGTAAATCTTAACATAATTCACCATACATGTGTATGCATGCGATCTGGGGATTACAAGTGCATACACTGTAGAATATAGAAGCTCTTTATGCTCCTTGTGGTGTTTACGTCAGCTGGAACGCTGAACCAAAATCCTGTGACATGTATTTCAATTATTTGTAAACATTTATGTTGAATTTCGTTAGCTCATAACCCAATTTTATCAAAGATTTTAAAATTGAGAACCGCAAGAAGGTTTTAAACGCGGTTTAGTGGAATATTTACCTCTGTTCTCAGGATCTGTCCGTGAGTGAGTGAGTGAGTTTAGTTTTACGCCGCACTCAGCAATATTCCACCTTTATGGCGGCGGTCTGTAAATAATCGAGTCTGGACCAGACAATCCAGGGATCAACAGCATGAGCATCGATCTGCACGATTTGGAACCGATGACATGTGTCAACCAAGCCAGCGAGCCTGACCACCCGATCCCGTTAGTTGCCTCTTACGACAAGCATGGGTTACTGAAGGTTCATTCTAACCCGGAGCCTCACGGGTCGATTTGACGTAAAGAAGCGGTAGGTAGACTAGTGGTTATAGCGTTCGATCGTCACGCCGATGACCTGGGTTCGATTTCCCACATGGGTGCAATGTGTTAAGCCAATTTCAGGTGTCACCGCTGTGATACCGCTGGGCAAAAAAAAGTAAAACAAGGCTCACTCATCATCTTTTGCAGTGTCTCTTTTGTTTAATCCCTAAGCTTGCTGTGAAAGTGTGAAGGTTAGATTTCTGAACTGTTAAATTGACATGGAATTAAAACTCACTTAGTACCGTATAGACTTATATCAATATATTTTGATTTCAGGCCTTTGAAATCCGCTGTCATTTGGCAATCTCCAGTCATGTAAGTACACTATTAGAGATATACCCAAACACAAACACTCTTTGAGCTTTATAATACATAAATTCTCTCTTCTAAAACTTTTTTTGTTGTCTAATGGTGATGTCGTATAGGACAGGCCATATATTATTATCTTGATTTGGTTCTGATGTAATGTAGTCCTACACATTGTTCAGACACCCAAATAACCCGTGAAGCTCCGGGTTAGAATGAACCTTCAGTAACCCATGCTTGTCGTAAGAGGCAACTAACGGGATCGGGTGGTCAGGCTCGCTGACTTGCTTGAAACAATTGCGTAGATCGATGCTCATGCCGTTGATCACTGGGTTGTCTGGTCCAGAATTGATTATTTACAGACCGCCGCCATATAGCTGGAATATTGCTGAGTGCGGCATAAAGATAAACTCACTCACTAACTCACTCACTCAGACACCCAAACAAAACCGGAATGCACTTATCCCTGCAGATGAATTAGGCCAGCAATTCTGTAATCAATTCTGTAATTGTCACTTCACATACACCGTTAACGCACGTTTAGCAGTTGTAAGTGCAGATAGGTCGATACGCTAATTGTAATACTGATGGATTCTGATTTCGATGATGAATCTACATGTATTTGGTATTTGCAACATTCAAATTGCCAAACTAATCTTTAAATTGTGTTTGTATGCGAAAGTTATATCATTTAGTACAAGACAAAATATTATGGATGTCAACGTCTTCTGTATTCCATACACAACGTTTCTGGGCTTTTACTTGTCCCAGTCTTTTAAGTACTTAATTGGATTTTATACTTAATGATGGACATGGAAAGATGATTTCGTAATTATTTTGCAATGAAGGTGTACGATGGCAACTATTCAATGCATAACCCCTTCAGCCTTTGAAGTTCACCTAGTTATACTGTGTTAAGTCTGCACTCCTGCCACCTTTGAACGCTACAACTGAATGTGTATAGTTTTATTATCTTAATGTCCTCTCCTTGTTATATACACCCCTAACACACTCGCATGCACGCACGCGCACACTCACTCTCTCTCTCTCTCTCTCACACACACACACACACACACACACACATGCACAGAGAGCTATATGACGGCGGTCAGTACGCAATCGAGTATGGACCAGACAATCTAGTGATTAAGAACATGAGACTCGACCTACGCAGTTGAGTGAGTTTATTTTACGCAGCTTTTAGCAATATTCCAGCAATATCACGGTGGAGGACACCAGAAATGGGCTTCACACATTTTACCCATGTG